AAGAAAAAAAAAAAAAAAAAAAAAAAAAAAAAAAAAAAAAAAAACCGGGGGGGGGGGGGAAGAAGATATAATAACTACAATTACTTAAAGTTGATACGACAAGCAAACAGAAAGGACATTGTTGGGTGGGAAGGAGGAGACGGAGGAGGGAGGGAGGTTTTGGTAAGGGGCAAAAATAATCAACCACAATGTATATTAACAAAATAAAATTTAAAAAACAAAAACAAAAACAAACAAACAATATGCTCCTAAATAACAAATGGGTTAAAGAATTATTTAAAAAGAAATATAAAAATTCCTGGAGACAAATGAAAATGAAAACACAACACACCAGAACCTGTGAGATAACAGCAAAAGCATTTCTAAGAAGTTTGCAGCATAAATGCCTACCATCAAAAAAGAAAATACTTGGGCCAGCCTGGTGGCGCACTGGAGAGTGCGCCACTTGGGAGCGCGGTGGCGCTCCCGCCGAGGGTTCGGATCCCATGTGGAGACCGGTTCCCGCTCACTGGCTAAGCGCGGTGCGGGCGCAGCACCGAGGGTTGCGATCCCGTTACCAGTCAGTAAAAAAGACAAAAAGGAAAAAAAAAAAAAAAAGAAAAGACTTCAAATAAACAATCTAAAGTTACACTTCAAGGAACTAGAAAAATAGGAATAAACCAAGCTCAAAATTAGTAGAAAGAGAGAAATAACAAAGGTCAGTGCAGAAAGAAATGAATTAGAGATTAAAAAACAACATAAAAGATCAATGAAACAAAAAGTAGTTTTTTTGAAAAGATAAACAAAACCTATAAACCTTTAGCTAGACTAACAGAGAAAAGAAAGACTCGAATAAATAAAATCAGAAATGAAAAAGGAGACATTACAGCTAATACCACAGAAATACAAAGGAGCATAAGAGACTATTACAAATAACTACATGCTAACAAACTGGAAAACCTAGAAAAAATAGATAAATTCCTGGACACAAACAACTTACCAAAGATGAATCAAGAAGAAGTAGAAAACCTAAACAGATCAATAATGAGTAATAAGATTGAAGCAGTAATAAAAAGTCTCCCAAGAAGGAAAACCCCAGGACTAAATGGCTTCACTGTTGACTTATAGCAAGCATTTAAAGAAAAACTAATAACAATTCTCAAACTCTTCGCAAAATTGAAAAGGAAGGAATACTTCCAAATTCATTTTAGAAGGCCAACATTACCCTCATACCAAAATTGGAAAAAGACACAACAAAAAGAAAACTCTAGACCAACATCCCTAACGAACTTAGATGCAAAAGTCCTCAAAAAAATACTAGTGAACTAAATTCAAAAGACATCATTCACCATAATAAAGTGGGATTTATCCCAGGGATGCAAGGATGGTTCAACATATGCAAATCAATAAATGTGACACATCACATCAACAGAATGAAAGAACAAAAAAACATGATCATATCAATAGACACAGAAAAAGCTTTTGATAAAATCCAACACCACTTCATGATAAAAACACTCAACGAATTACATGTAGAAGGAATGTACCTCGATACAATAAAGGCCATATATAACAAACCCACAGCTAATAAACAAAAATTGAAGGCCTTTCCTCTAAGATATCAAAGAAGACAAGGATGCCCATTTTCCCCACCCTTATTCAATATGGTGCTGGAAGTTCTAGCCAGCACAATAAGCCAAGAGAAAGCAATAAAGAGCATCCAAACTATGAAGGAAAAAGTCAAACTATCCCTATTTGCAGATGGCATAATCGTGTACATAGAAAACCCATCAAAAAAATTACTAGAACTAATAAATGAATTCAGTAAAGTGACAGAATACAAAATTATCACACAAAAATCAATGGCATTCCTATACACCAATAACAAAATATCTGAAGAAGAAATCAAGAAAGTATATAGTACTTCCCAGAAAAATGAGATACCAAGGACTAAATTTAACCAAGGAGGTGAAAGTCCTCTATAATGAAAACTATAAAACATTGGTGAAAAAAACTGAAGAGGACACAAAAAAATGGAAAGATATCTCATGTTCTTGGTTTGGAAGAATTAACATCATCAAAATGTCCATGTTAACAAAAGCAATCTATGCATTCAATGCAATCCCTATCAAAATAGCAATGACATTATTCACAGAAATAGAAAAAATGATCTTAAAATTTGTGTGGAACCACAAAGACCCCATATAACTAAAGCAATCTTGAACAAAAAGAACAAAGTTGGAGGCATCACACTTACCTGACTTCAAAATATACTAGAAAGCTATAGTAAAGAAAACAACATGGTACTGGCATGAAAACAGACAAATTGACCAATGGAATAGAATAGAAAGCCCCCAAATAAACCCTTGCATCTATAGACAACTGATTTCTGACAAAGGTGCCAAAAATATACTCTGGGGAAAGGCCAGCCTCTTCAATAATGGTGCTGGGAAAACTGAATATCCACATCAGAAGATTGAAACTAGACTCCTACCTCTCACCATACATAAAAATCAACTCAAAATGGACCAAAGACCTAAATTTAAGATCCCAAACTATGAAACTACTAGAAGAAAACATAGGGGAAATGTTACACAAAATGGGAGTGAGCAGAGCTTTTTTGAACAAAACAACAAGACATTGGCGACTAACGCAAAAAAAAGACAAATGGGACTACATCAAACTAAAAGGCTTCTGCACAGAAAAGGACATAACCAATAAAATGAAGAGACAATCTCCAGAATGGGAGAAAGTGTTTTCAAATTACATATCAGACAAGGGGCTAATATCCAGAATATATAAGAATTCAAATGACTACAACAGCAAAAACACCCAAATAACACAATTAAAAAATGGGCAAAGGATCTGAACAGGCATTTCTCACAAGAGGACAAGTAGACATACAAACAGCCAACAGGCACAAGAAAAAATGCTCAATATCACTAATCATCAGGGAAATGCAAATTAAAACCAAAATGAGGTATCACCTTACCCCAGTTAGAATGGTTATCAAAAAGACAGAAAACAACAAATGCTATCCAGGATGCAGAGAAAAAGCAACTCTCCCACATTGTTGGTGAGAATGTAAATAGGTACAGCCATTGTGGAAAACAGTACGGAGGTTCCTCAGAAAACTAAAAATGAACTACCTTATGACCCAGCAATCCTAGTACTAGGTATATACCCAAAGGAAATGAAATCAATATTTCGAAGAGATGCCTGCACTCCCATGTTCACTACAACACTATTCACAAAAGACAAGAGATGGAATGAACCTAAATGCCTATCAATGGATGAATGGATTAAAAAAAATTGTAGTATATATACACAATGGAATACTATTCAGCTATAAAAAAAAATGATATGCTATCATTTGTAGCAACATGGAGGGAACTGGAAACTATAATGTTAAACGAAGTAAGCCAGGCACAGAGAGACAAATACCACATGATCTCACTCATCTGTGTAGTCTTAAAAAAGTGTTTCTCATATAAGTAGAGAGTAGAACAATGGTTACCAGAGGCTAAGAGGGGAAGGAGGTGGTGGGGAGAGGAAGTAGTGGATTAAAGGATACAAAGCTATGCTATCTACCCTAAGTGAATCAATGTGTTGAAATAACACACTGTACCCCACAAATATGTAAAAATAAATGTTTAAATTTTTAAAAGAAAAATAACATTGTTAAACATTCATTATTATTTTCATTTGACCCACACAACAAACCTAAGAAGCAGGTAATGAATGTGTCATTTGACAGATAATGGAAAGGAGGTTCATCAAACTGACTTGTTCAAGGACAAAGAGCTAGTAAGTTGAAGAGCCAATATTAGAACCCAAGTTTTCTGACCTCATGCTAAGGAGACAAAATCTACAAACTGAGAATAGAATTCAAATCCAAATAGGTCAGAGCCACACGGTGTAACTTACAGATCAGAAGTTCCAATTCCCAACAGCTTGATAGGACTGATTTAAAACCCAAATGAAATAAATTCTCTATGTACCTTTATTTTCTAGAATGCATCTAAACTGTAAAGGATACATATATTTACACTGCCAAAACTAACCTAATAGTCTACATATTCAAGGTAAACTACCTGAATCTTCTCATATTGAAAATCAATCATCAACAAAACTGCTAGACTACACCGGCCATTAGATATGAACCGATGATGCAGGACTTAACAAATATTATGTGTCAGTACAACACAAGTTAATAAGTATATTTACATTTCAGAAATGGAAGCCTAAGGAAACTCATGTTAATCTTACCAAATGCTTTATCTATCTAATGATATATAAACGTAAGTATCCTTTCTTACCATAATATTGTAGTTGACATTAATGGCGTCATCTTCATAGGGGGCTTTCATTTGAACAGGTTTAACATCATTCTTTCCTCTCCTTACAACATCATAGATGGGATTTCGAGGTTGCTGGTTTTGTAGAATTTTTTTCAACTGCTTTTCCAGAAGTTGTGGAGCATCATTAACTACTTCAAAAACTCCATAATCCACATTAAATCTAATTGCCTCTGAAAAGGTCTGCAATATAAATGTATGGAAATTTAAAAAAAATTTTTTTTAACCCAGAAACTCACTCCAAGAAGACTTGATATATACACACGTGCATGTATACCTACAGAGAGTTTTGTATTTTTAATCATTCTGCCTTCCCTTTTAAGAACTAGGAAACCCTGTGGCTAGAAGTAAGGGAACCCACTAAATGCTTCCTAACAACGTATTTATGTCATCAGATAAGTATCAGCGTATGCTATGGGAGAAATTCCCTTTGTATAAACATCTCACCTCTGATTTTTTGAAACTGGAGAGAAATATACACCTGGTCTCTATGTAGCAAAGTTATCCTCTTAGAAGGGGATGGATTACTAGGGAAGAAGGAGTACAGGAAGAAGAAATAATGCTTCTGTTAACTCTTCCATTCTCAGAAGCCATGAAAGCTAATAATCTCCCTGCCCAAACGGAGAAAGTTAAGTACAATGTGTTCTTCATTTAAGACTATTTCAACACCATTCCTCACACAGTGACAAAAAAACGAGTGAAAAAGCATATCATTTCTGAGCTTCTTCTCAGTAAATTTAAATGTTGCCAGCTTTTATTTAAAGCCAGCCAGTTAATATACAACAGTCAGGAGTCTTGAGTTTGAATGGCAGCTTGCCAATGACATCTTTGAACATCTATGGGGCCTCCATCTCCATAAGATGTAAATAGTGGATTGGCATGTCTTTTCCCATTTGCCCTCCAAATCTAGAATCAGGTCCTTTCCAGAATACTCATTTATTTTAGGGTAACTTCAGTGAAAGAACTTCTTATTTGGATTAATTTATATATGTTTAGTCAGGTAGTAGAAGACATTAAACTCCTCTCCTCTGATCAGTAAGTGTCCTAGGTAGAGCATTAATTCTTTCAAGTTTTACTAAGAGACTGCTAGACCCATTACTATATGTACTTGTATGTATATATACCCATGTATGTAAATATATATATATTTATTTTAATATCAGATAACATCACATCTCTAAGGTTTGATTGTCTCTCCTTGTAAGACAGTATAGATATCCGAACCCTTGACCTTGGTATTATAACATGCTCTAATCTAAATAATTTAAAGGGCATGGACAATAGAATAGAGTCCAAGATGAGTATCAGTCCACAGTTCAAAAAGACTCAGGGCTAAGAATTTCCCCCCAAATGAGAAGTATAGCTCAATGAATAAGTAAGGATAATTAGCAGTAAACCGTGTATGAAGTTTCTTCAATAAATATATTTCATTAGTTGCCCACTCCATCTGTCTTTCCAACATGGCATTCAAATAGGCACCACTTACCTCAAGGTCATAAATATTATCCCTGAAATATGCTATCACTAGACTAGAGAGATAAAAGAGTCTGCTGATATCAGAGATCAGATTTATCTGGTTGGGAAAAGGAAAGGAATTAAACTTGGTAGAGTATGGACATTAAATATTAACAGAGCTAGGGGAAATGAAGTAGTACAATGGGAAAGGCCATCTGGAAAACATTTCTTCTAGTTCTGAGTATCCATGGAACAAGAAAACAAGCTTGACCCTTATTGTTTTCCTTTCTTTTTTCTGCCTCCTACCCTCACACCTGGTAGCCAGAGGAACACAAAGCTGTGATAATCCAAAGCAAAGAATGCCAATTAGCTCAATGAATAAAAAAAATTTTAAAAACTCTCAAGAAAAAAAAATTTAAAGGGACTGTTGACACTCTGAGATCAGTAACCAATTTTACTTAGTAGTAATAAATAGTTAAGGTACAGTGGCAGGAATAATAGGGATGATAACAACTACTGTTTACTGAACATCTACCATGCGCTTGGCATGTGTGGACACTAAATGCACTCTCTTGAATCCTTCCAAATTCCTGAGATTGCTTTTCACAGAAAACTGACTCTCGGGATGGTTAAGTGACAGCCTATGGACTCAGAGATAAAAAGTACTAGTTCAGGGCTATAGAAACATGTCTGTCCGGTACCAAAGACAGAACATTTCCCTTTCTTTACTATATTGCCTCACATATGATAAAGCTGGCATGTGCTGACCACTTTCTCTATGCCAAGCACTTTGCTAAGTAATAACTCTATAAAGTTAGTGGAGCTGGGATTCAAACTCAAGGTGTTTTCATTTCAAAGCTCATGCTCATCTTTATTCTGGTCTTCCTAGTAAAGGCACAGAGGCATGAAGCAACATGGTATGTTGTAGGTAACTCTAAACGACAGTTCAATGTAGTTGGAATAGAACCAGAATAGCTATAGTTGGAATAGTTTAAGAACAGAAAGGAAAGACTTGAGTTAGATGAGGTAGATGAGATAGACAGGACATGGAAAGCTTTGCAAACCATTTAAAGAAGCATAGACTTTATCTTAATCCTCTGGGAAAAAGGGAGACATGGGAAAATCCTACGTAGGGTAGTAACATAGTTACTTCCAATCTGTGTTTTAGGAATATTCCCCTGGTAGGAGTCTGGAGAATGTACTGTTTGCTTACCAGCTGGTGAGGTAGACTGCTGACACCCTACAAGCAGAGCTATCACCACACTCCAGGGAGGCTGGCTGTGACCGCAGAGCCACTGCACAGGCTTAGTGTGGTCATTATTAACTCTCTGGATGGGACACTGTCCCCATCACTCATAGTGCCCAGGACAGGCTTTAAAGCAGGTAGTTAGCAATTATTTTTATATTCAACTTATAAAGCAAAACTGCAGCTGAGAGAGGTTAAATGATATTTTTGTGGCTTTACATCAAGTTCTGTAATAAGCTTATTATAGAACTCTGGATTTATGACTACAAAACTGCTTTAAACCTACGGTTGATGGGCCGGCCTGGTGGCGCACTGCTACAGTGCGCCGCTTGAGAAGCGCAGCAGGCGCTCCCTCCGAGGGTTCGGATCCCACATACAGACCGGTTCCCGCTCACTGGCTGAGCGAGGCATGGGAGCAACACCGAGGGTTGCGATCCCGTTGCCGGTCCCGGTCCGGTACGGGCGCGACACTGAGGGTTGCGATCCGTTGCCGGACACGAAAAAAGACAAAAAGGAAAAAAACAAAACAAAACAAAACAAAACAAAAACCTACAGTTGACACGTAATTTTAGTTAGGGCTTGTGGTGGATGCTGTGGACCAGCTCACTCAAGATCCATTTCAACCTACTGAGATGCAAAGACTGGAAAACAAAAAACTATTTCCCAGACTACCTATAACTATGAGTTCATATGTGATTCAGGTTTTGCTGCTCAAATGCACTCACAAAAATACCTGAATTCTGAACTGAATTAAGTGGGGAAAGAGGCAGGGTGTATCCATTCTGAGGAAAACAAGCTGAGGGATTTAAGTACATGAAGATGAAGGGAAGAAGTGTTCAAAAAGAAGTACTTTATAGAAAAAGCACAGGGAAGAAACAATAAAAGGAAAATTAGAATTATGTTATTATAAAATTATGATAACAAGACATAAATGCTCCTATTTTTAAAAAAAGAAATGTAAATGTATAATATGTTAAAGTATAATTTTTAAACTTAAGAATTTCTCTCTGTGGAATTAATAAAAATGCTACAGAGTCTCTGCCAAGGGTAAATAAGAGTTTTTCTATTTAAAAAAGCCATGAGTTAGAGTAGGTCTTAGAAGGCCCTTAATAGAATTGTTATTCCAGGATTATAAAAGTGGCAAATAACTGATTCAAAGCTTCTCCCAATCAATTCATTTCAACAATGGCAACATTTTTGAATTCCCAGGTGCCAATTATTGCCCTATGCAGAGGATACAAAGATAAATAAAACATTATTTCTGCCCTTGAAGGAACAAGTATATGATCATTTTTCTCTAAGATGAAAAGTCAACAAAATGCTGAAATAAGTTAAAATTACTATAAATGCAAATACCAAAGGGGAAATATGTCTACAGAGAAAAGGGTAGTAATACTAGAAATAATGTTTAGTATAGTTATCATACTTTGAAAGGGATTTGCCTAAAGTAGCAACTATACAGAGAAAGATAAGCAGATTGATTAAACGGAAGAAATATTGGGCAAATTACTTTGCTTTTCTGAGACTTATCAGTAAAAAGGAGTTTTAACTAGATAATCCCAAGGTGCCTTCTCTGTTTGATGCTCCATCAGTCCATGATGGTCTCTCCAGGAAAAAAGAGTCTATAACTTCTGCTCTCTAGTAAGATCAGCCAGCTCCACTGTTCCTTTGTTAATTCATTCATTCATTTATTTAATAAGTATTTATTGAATCCTTATTCAATGAGATATTATGATGGATAACATATTGCCATATTGAGGGAGCCAATACAGAGTATCCTCCACAAAGCCCCAACTGAAATGAATGAGACATGGATCATGCCTCCAAGTACACATAATCTAGCAGAGGAAGAAAGATAAGTAAATATACATAGATGACTAAGACCCACTCAACAAGGGGAATGGACACTAAAGTCAGCACATAAGGTGAAATCATAGTTAGTCAAATTATCCCTTGGAATCCTTGAAAGCACCCATAAAGTACAATGTTGTCTTCAACACATTCCCAAAAAGTTGATCACAGTCAGTTTTTCCTTCAGCATTGACATGGGTCACTGAGTCTTCAGTTAGGGACCAGATGAAATACAAGGCTTGTGTTTAAAGCTCATGTTGTACAAAAATGTGCATATTTAACACTAGAATCACTCAGCATGATGAGATGACTACTCTGTAAGAGGCAGGAAGGATAAGACCCACTGAGGGAATGGCATATTCTCATCTTCTATCTCACACCCTCTCCAGGGCACATATTCATGGATAGGTGCAACAGACAAAATCATTCTCAATCTTTAAATCACCCTCACTCTCTCTGCAGAGCATGAAT